AGGGAATTCAGTTTTATTTACCAGTTAAACTACTGTGCTCTTAGCGCTTGTTCATAGGCGACCTGGTCACACGTGATGATTGCTCATGATCGCAGTGGCCGATATTACCACACGTGGAAATTTATAGCAGCAGCCTAATCATCTGAACCAAGGAACCCAGATAAATACCCAAGCTCCGACCACCAAGTATAAAAGAATGCACCGCCAGAGTCCAGCATTGAACCAATGGCCTCCTGTGTACCGGGCGAGGCAGAGAACATCTTTCAGCGGTAATTAGCAGCGAATCATTGCCTTAACATTAAAATGATGCATTCACATCTCCAATAAAATATTTTGGAAACTCTCTGAAAGTGTTGCTCTGAATAGATGGCATTGTTGATGAAATGTCCCTTTCTGCGTCTTGTTTTATTTATCCATAGTCTCAATGTAAAGCTTCATATCTGTAAATAAACACCATTATAAATATCTATAAATATGTAGGCATATATATCTGTCCATCAATGAACATGGAAGAAAACTTATCTTCCGAGCCCTGCACAAGTATTTGAACCTTGGGACGCTAGTTCGACTCCCACTCATGGCCACCAACAATAGTGGAGATTATCTGAACCTGTTCTGGGTCTCCCCTAGGTCGACTCGGCCTCAAATGAGAACCTGGTGCGGTAATGCAGTTTGACTTGGTGCTCCATGAGTCAAAGCTATACGGTGAATCGTTTTCTGTGTTTTGGTAGAGAAACCTTTCTAAAAACCAAGGTTTTCCATGTGGGTTGCTCGCCCTCAATTAATCAGGCATACAAAGTGATTTGATAAACTGCTATGGTTAACGGCGCAGTCTAGGTGTGGGTTTTTTTACATCCCCGATAGCATGGTTGGCTAAGTGCAGTGCAAAATAAATTCGACATACAAATAACAGCGTTTCCTTCATCTGACCACTGCTACATAGAAGCGACTTCTCTGTCCGTGGCCAGGAGCAGCTTCAAAGCTCATACATTTACTTTAGCCGATGATATCACAAGTGATGTCCACCGTTGTTGTACAGCAGCCCTTTTGACTGCATTCCATTGTAATGAGAGGCTGCCCTGCTGCAATTAACACATCACCACACTTGCGATCTAGAGGTCGATCCTTAGGCCTGGCATTTGGAGCGACGCTGCAAGCTTCTTAAATCTCACTGCCTCTGTCCACCCAGCTGCGTAAATGGATACAGCACAGTTGATCGATTGGCAGGTCGCGTGCGGTGTTGGGGTAAAGCGTGAGTAACTCCCACCTCTTCCAAGACATCTGGCCAGCATGGAAGAGTAGGCCAAATACACCACTCGAGACGGGCTCTCTAGAAATCCGTGTAGCAAGAGGCCCTTCTGCTGGTGGTGGCAACAAGGGAAGCATCTTGCAGGGCTGCACCTTTACTGACCGCACCATCATTGATAAACCACAACGCGCATGGGTCCACATACGGCGTGCGAATAGGGGGTCCCCGTGCAGCGTGCGAGGAGGGGGTCCAGGTGCGCCGTGAGTGGAAGGGGTCCATGTGTTGCATGCAGGGAGGGGATCCACGTGCGACGTGTGAGGAGGGCGTCCAGGGATCTGTTAGACAATCTCTCTGAGATGGCACTGCTGAGCGTCATTGTCGTCTCCATCATTGACAAATGCTTTATTGTCTCGGCCAACAGCACTGCTCCTTGACTGCTGGCATGACGACGACGACTCCACGTAGGAAAGCACGTGCAGCAGCGTGAACAACCTGCACGGGGGCAGAGAGGCGGTGGGGGGGGGGCACAGGGCACCACGATGGCGAAATGTCAGACGGTAACGGGACAGACCCAAGGGGCCAATGGTTGACCGACTGAGATAACTGGCAGATGCACCAGCTGTGCCCCCTACTGTGCCATCTTGTTTTTAGCTGCCTGGCGCTCCGCCCATTGTTGTGAGCATCGCTCCTCTGCCCTCCATTATTGCTGGTAGGCCACTGCCTCCAACTGCCAAGTAGCGTCTCTTCAGGAGCCTCCTCTAGAGAGGCCAATCTTAACACCGCTGGTAGCAGTTATTGGCAAGTCCAGTCATCGCTAAATATCCTCTTGAACCGTATAATTCCTTTCTTCCATAGCCCATTCCGTGCGCTTTTAGTCTGCTCTGTCCTGCCAAACAATATTTGTTTTGCCATGCGGTGGCTGAGAATGGGGGCTACATGACCCAGCCAACACAGCCACGCTTGCCAGAGGAACTCACCAATGGGAATGTGTCCAGATATTTTAAGAACCTGTGAGCTCCTGACACAATCCAGTCTGGTTTAACCCAAGATGCATTGTAGATGGGGTCAGCCTGAATGTTTCTATCTGGTGCAGATGTTCCTTTAGACGCCTCCACATCCTTCTCGAAATAACAAAGGGAGGGCATCAATGCGGCCAAGAAAACCCAGAGCTTAATATGGAATGACAGATCAAGTAGCTTCCACCCTGTGTTACGCAGCCAATGAAAAGATAATGCTGCCCGACTGTTTCGGAGCGAGACCTCGGCTGCCAAACCGGGGCTGGTCATAAGCACACTGCCCACACTCACACAAAGGCAAATACAAAGATCTACAGTAAAGCCTTAAGATACTGTTGAGGCAAGTGCTGTCAGCGAGTGGCAGGTACGGCACTGAGTCGACACGCACACACACCCCCTATGGCCACGCGTGGGTCTACACCCTCCCCTACTCCTCACCTGTGGTACAGCATGGCCAGGAACTGGACGATGAGCATGCTGGCGAAGGTGATGAGGAACATGAAGGCGAGGGGCGGCACGTCGATGACTGTCCCCTCGTTCTTCGTGCTCGGGATCTGGATGTAGAGGTCGGCTCCCACGAACTGCAGTGCCAGGGTCGCCACCAGCCACAGTGCATTGATCATGAAGTAGACGAAGGTGCCCTACACGTTGGGACAGACAGACCAGGCCTGATTTACATTGCATTGGACGGAGGAGGGGGTGGGGGGGTGATCCGGGGCTGTTTTGGGACCCCCTCTTTGTGCGTTCAATTTCCTCCCCCACTGTCCACTCCTAACGCCAAATGGTCACGTCTGTTATTGTTTTATTGTCAATATATGTTAAAGGATTAGTGGATTATTGGAACAATTAACAATACATTAGTAGGAATAATAAGGCATACGTAGTACAATGTCGTTTTAATATTCTTCTGCCACATGCCAAGTACGGTAAGTACTCGCTTAACGCCTGGTGTTCACACAACGCATTGTCACTGGAACGCAATTCTTCTGTTATTGAAGCATCTCCAGTACTCGCGATGACGCATCGCCAGTACCTTGTTTCTTATCTCGAAGAGTTCCTGCTTCACGCGCTTCCTGTGATCGTCGTCTTCCTCCAGAGGCTTGAGGTAGTCACTGATCATGCTCTTCCAGAACTCGTCTTCCTCCTATCCATTCCCATCCACGGGACAGAAGGTTCACTTTGTGCGATTGTCCAAATAACAACAACTTACTCTGATGAATGATATTAATATTAATGTTAATTTGTAATGCCCCATCACTGCACAGTTATCTGCTCGCTTTCGAAGAGAGACATAGGGAGCGACTCAGAGACACGAGGAGGAATCACAGATAGATGGGAAGGCAGCAACAATGCACACCATGAGACGGCGCTACCAACAATTGTCCAAGCTCTGCAGTCCTCTGCATATAAACGTGTTCTCGGCCAATTAATTATGGTTCACATGTGGCAGGAAACCAGAGCAACTGGAGAAAATGCACGCGTGTGAGCGGGGAACATTCTATTCCATACAGATGGAACAGGTGGAGTCTACATTTGCTGTACCACCCTCTCCTGGCGAGCCAGGGTGTGGCTCCTTTCTGACGCCCACTGGAAGGGAAATTTACAACATCATCTCAGTGTGTGATCCACCAACCACGTGTAGCAGCAGCGTAGCCACCACCAAGTCCGAGAATAATGACATCACTTCCTCTCCACTGCCGAGAATTGTTATCGAAATTGCACTGTGTCCTCGCACGAGATAACTACTGCGAGTGGAACTCTCCCAGAGCAATGCAGTAAAGCCCTACACGATAAAGAATGGCCCAACAGAAGCGGATATCACAGAACTAGTGCTGAGGTCCCTTTTTGCAAAGTCTCAAAGTCACACATTAGAGGAACGCACCACTTGTTTAAACGTCACAGAAAACGACACTCAGACAACTTACGGTAATATTTGGACATCTGAGCAATGCGTTGAACAATTAAGAGAGACAGGCAGCCAGGGTAGGGGAATGATGACTTCTAAATTAATTGCGTTGTTTAGGACAACAACCCCAACATTCATGTAAGATCTTAAACGTAAACATCTCGATATTATATTTATAGATTATTGTATTAAAGCAGGAAGGGCCCAACTCTCTGTCAGGCTGTTTCCCAATATATTTTCTTAATTAAAGTTGGTTGTTATCTTCTAGGCACTTACACACGAACTAGGAGAAAGATCAAAGATCCCCCGTGTAGTCTTAACAGACTTCTGGGGCATGTGCTGTTAGCGACCACCTCTGAAGGCCAGCACGGGATACGAGGAGGTGGGTGGCCAGCAACACGTCCGGCCACCTTTGTCTCTCCATTTGGGATATTTATTCACCACACCAAGTACTCATTTGAGGCTGAGTCGACCTAGGAGAGACCTAGGACCAGTTCAGATAATCGTCACTGGTGTTGGTGGCTGGGAGCGGGAATCGAACTCAGGTCGCTAGGTTCTAAGCGCAGTGCGTTAACCACTGCGCCACGGTTCCCCACACGTACAAAGACCGACACACAGACATAAAGACACAGACACAAGGACGCACCTGATCGAGACTGCACCTCTGCGTGATGGCGTAACCCTGAGGCAGGACGTTCTCAAACATGACCTGCATTTTCTGGTGGCGCTGCCACACGAGGTCATGGCTCCCTGCAAGGGACAAAGGAGGACAGCGATGTGCGGTGCGCTCCCACAGAGGCTCGGGAAAAAAGTTTACCGTGACTCAGCGAAGAGAGCTGCGCTGACGGTAGTGATTATTCTCATCGTTAGGCTGGTTTAGCCTGCAAGAAAGCCTGGCTGAGTCGCAAGGCTCTGTGTTCGTGAGGGTCTTAGCAAGTTACAGTAGTAGAGGGGCGATGTTACTGGTGAGTGTGGTCCCAATTGAGTGATTTGTAGGTATTTTTTCCGAAGTGTTCAATTTTGGCCAATACCAATTACACATGGGAGGAGGAGAAGATGCCCATGCAGAACAGGGGGAGAGAATACACAATCTCCCACGCTTCTACTGCAGCAGCAACATGCCCTCATTACAGAGTGCTTGCCACAAATGAATCACAAAAGCTTGCTAATCTCGTCTAGGAGCATTAACCATCACACAAACTTCGTTCATCCATTCATCATAAAAAGACGGTCACCGCACCGCGTAATTTCAGATAGGCAGTCTTGTTTAACTGACAAGCAATGACTTCGCATTTGTTTGATGAAAATATTACCTTTGGCATGGAGGGCAAGGTCTGAGTCTGATTCCTCTGGAGGTCGACTTTCGATCTCTGCTCCTTCTGGATGCTCCGTTTGAGTGCTCTTGATGTCCTCTCGTCTCGCCTCACTCTCTGTTCCTTCTGTATGCTCTGTCTGAGTGCTCGCAATATCCTCTTGTATCGTCTCTGCTCCTTCTGGATGCTCCATCTGAGTGTTTGTGATGTCCTCTCCTCTCGCCTCGATCTCTGCTCCTACTGGATGCTCCGTCTGAGTGCTCGCGATGCCCTGTCGTCTCTCCTCACTCTGTACTCCTTCTGGATGATCTGTCTGAGTGTTCGTGATGTCCTCTGGCCTCGCCTCACTATATGTTCCTTCTGGATGCTCCGTCTGAGTGCTCGTGGTGTCCTGTTGTCTCGCCTCAAGTGGACGCAGCATCATCTCTCCGTCGAGTTCCACCGCACACGACTCCACTCGGCTGGGAGAGACAATGATAAACTGTGAAACTAAACCATTATTTTTATTTTACATGGTAAGGCCCACTGAGCTATACAGCTCTTTTGCAGAATTGACCTGGCTATCACAAATTATAACTCAATGAGTCGCTTATCACGTGGAAAATTACAGCAGCCAAATACTCTAATCACATGATGATTCTAAATGAGGAGGGAAAAAGCAAAGGACCAGGAGAAAATTTCACACCAACACTGGGAGAGAAATGAATAGACGCAGACTCCACATAGGCAACAGGCATCGTCAGGGCTGGGATCGAAGCCACTACCTCCTGCATACCAGGCGAGGTGGTTAACATCTCGCCACCACGGCGCCTAAGATACAAGCACAACTATAATCACAGTGGATAAGTTGGGACAAGACTCAGTATTGACCTGAGTAAAATGTTGTGTCGTAGATCCTCCTCCACCTGACACAGCCAATCAATAATCATAATCTGTATTTCTACTGCAGGAGGAGTCCGATTAGCTATGAAGCTCTTTTCAGAGATATCCAGTAGGTGTAGAGGGTTCGAAAGTTACAACATAAAACGATAGCAGTGCAAAGTATAGGAAAGATAAGAAAATAAATAAAGTATATGAGTGCAATTTGCATCAGTACATCAGTTACTGCCTATTTTTCAATACTACATTCAAACTTGGGCAAGGCAGCAAAACAACAGTCCCAAACCACACCAAGATAACACACAGTCCCTTAATAACATGGCACATAAACATTGAACTATCGATACACGAGAGGTAAGGATCAAAGATAAAAGCATGGCTACAGGCTCTGAGTGAGGTGGTGGTACCTTGAACTGTCATTCTCCTGACTCAGCGCCGAGTATTTCTTTGGATAGACGCTGATCCTCCACTGGAAGCAGTCCCACTCGAGTGGCAGCACACAGCATTTCGTGCCATTGCAAATATGCTTGCGTTTCTTCTTCTGCTGGGTCAGGAGGATGAGCATTGTGTTGGTGCATTAGGGCAGGGTCCTTCAATTATATAAAACCAGCGGGATGCGCACACAAGCTGGAAGGCAGTTTCAGCTGCTCGGTGAACTGGCGCCAATAACTGTCCAAGCTCTGCGGTCCTCAATGTATGAAGATTTTATTGGCCAAGAAGAAACCAGAACACCATGGAAAAAACCCACAAATGCGAGGGGGAAACATTCCGTTCTATTCTGAGGGAACAGATATAGTCCACAATTGTCATACTGCATTCTCCTGGAAAGCCAGTGGACACGAGTGGAACAGCCAAACTCCGGCCATCCTCTCACCAGAGGATTTTGGCTAACCATTGAACAAAGACGGTGACCACATCGCGTGCTTTTGGTTGCGCTTCTGCGTCCATCTGGAACCGTCTTCCTTGAAATATGAGGAAGCCATTGGAGCGATGTACTTTTAAATAATTTGTTCAAAACTGCTTTTTGTGTTTAGAGGCTTTCCTTCCTTCGCACCTCCAATTAGCACAGTTGCCTACACATGATGTGAAAGAAGTTCAACATACATACATCTGAACTGGTCCTTGGCTTTCCCTAGATTGAATCAGCCTAAAAAATAAATAACCAATGTGGTGTGTAGTAAACATCACAACAATAGAGACAAAGGCGGCCGGGCATGGTGCTGGCCACCCACCCCCTTGTGTGTCATTCCGGACTTCACAGGCGCTACTCGCTAACAGCATTTGCCCCAACAGTCGGTTAAAGACTACACGGGATCTAGGCCTTCGTGTTGGCAGGAGTGGGGCAGTTCGTATGTTACACTTATTTTGCACTATACGTAGCTAATCGTGCGAATCGGAGGTGCGGGACGGAGCAACAGAGGAGAATGGAGCGACACTCCAAATAACGTTCGACACAAAAACAACAACGACAACAACGATAATACAAAGTAACTCACCTCCTTGGGGGAGGGCTCAGAAGGCGCCTTGGTCTCACGCGTGCCCCATGATACGTTGTACATGTTGACCAATGAGTAGATGAGCAGCAGTAGGTATCCCGTGGGAATGCAGATGAGGTACAAGAATCCGTGCACGATGCAGAAGAACTCGCGCGGGTGCAGCGCCGCGGCGATGAGATGGATGCCCACGAGAGTGATGAAGAAGATGCCGCTGGGCGTGAGGATACCATTCTTGACAATGTCGCCGACCATAGCGAGCAGCGTGCCCGTCATGAGGAACATGTAGACCACGGTGAGCACCATGGCCACCTTAAAAAAAAATACCGGGTAAGGCCCACTGAGGTATAAAGCTCTTTTCAGAAGACACCTGGCCACAAATGATACCTCAATGAAGTGGCTCATCACGTGGAAATGTATAGCAGCAGCCAGATTAAATGTGGAGGAAATAGAGAGAGAACACGCGGACTCCAAATATATAACAGGCATCAGGGTCGGGATCGAACCCACGACCTCCTGTATACCTGGCGATGGAGTTAACATCTCGCTATCGCAGCGCCCCTGCAGAACGATGGAGGAAACAATAGTGATCGGCGTCGCCATCGTGATTTTTGTCCAACCACCACCACCACTTCTTGGGAGTTACTTTGCATTCAATTCGCACATTTCCACAAGGTCCTCAAGGTCCTGCACTTTACAAACAACAACAAAATAATGATAGCTCATTGGTCAAGGGGAGGAAGACCCAAGAGCTTTGGCAGCTCATTGAAAGAAGTGAAAGGAAGATAATGAACGTGCATCCAGGCGGGGTGTGAACACTGGCGCTGGATTGATCAACACACGCTTCTTAGTTAACAAGATAGTGCTGATCCAGGATCTTATCAACGATTGTGGACTCGACATATTGGCCACTACCAAAACCTCGATATATGACGACTCATCGGACGTAATTAAGTGTGAGGCTGCACCTAATGGATATGCTATTGCACATCAGCACCTTCGTGGGAAGCCTGGCACCAGCAGTTCGCATGGTGATGGGGTCGCACTGATTCACCGTGGAGAAATCTGCTTGAAAGTCCTGAGCGACTCATTAACAATCACATAATTCAAGCTGCTGCTTGTGAAAATAACGAACAGCATGTGGGGGCTTACGATCGCTGTCGCCTATCGACCGTCGACTTCACAGCTGTCAGAATTATTTTCCTAGCTTTCTGGTCTGCGAGACTGAGACATTTGGCTCTCGCTACATCATCTGTGGTGACCTGAACTGTCCCGGACCGACTGGTTACTATGGTAAAATCAACAGTGATCTCGCCGAAACGTTCGACAGTCAGTTTAACCCAGCACGTCAGCGGCGCAACATGCCGCTCAGGAAGAATACTGGATCATATCTTCACATACGGCGACGTTGTAACTTTGAACGATGTTCTTATCGAAGACGTGGGCATTTCAAATGACAGTCTTGTGATGTGCAAAGTGGCATTACCAATTATTCGCCCACGCATCACAACGAAATCATACAGAAACTGAAAACGACTAACCCACGATGCTTTCCGTCAGAAGATCTGGTCATCATTGGTGCGTCTGAATACTGCATCGACGGTCCATTCATTTGCAGCTCAATTTAAAAAATCACATCATTGCTGTTCTTGATGAACTTATGTCTATCCAAACAGGCACACAGAGAACGGGCTAGCATCAAGTGACTTATTGTAACTGGAGGCGATCACTGCGAAGCAGATGCAGAGGAGGCTAGGGCGTCTTTGAAATAAAACTGGTTTCCAGACTGTTCAAATCACTTACAGAGCCGCCTACAGAATTGCAAACTGGCTCATTATTGAGTCTCGCAGATCGTTCTATGGTCTGTGCATCAATGAGTCGGTTCGCGACCCCGTGCTCTGTGCCGCGTTGTGAAGGGCCTGTTGCACTTCAAACCCATCAGTCAGCCCGGTCTGTGTACAGTACTTGTGACGTTCTTCACCAATAAAGTGACGATTAAGACAGCAGTTTCGAACTTGCAGGCAACGCAGTCTCCCGGTCTGTCATGTGAGTTTGATCAACCTGATAACCAATGCAAAACTCGAGACCCTGGCACCACCGTCGGTAGCAGAGATGTCAATGTCCATTGCACAGCTGCCAAATAAGACATCGCCGCTAGACTTAGTCCAAATTTAAATTCTCAAATTATGCTCGGACGTACTTGCGCCACTGATTGTCCACCTGGTAAATATTTCATTCACTGAGGGCTGTTTGCCAGACCATTGCAAAATGGCTTGAGCCATAGTGACCACCTAGACTATCACCCGATCTCAAAACTGAGTACAATGTCAGCGGTCATTGAGCGCCTGTGTCTGAAGTGGTCACTTCCCCACGTCACTGCGATGGGCAAATTCAACCCGTTGTAGTTGGCGTACCGACAATTCCACAGCCCTGGGAAGACTCTATTAGAGGTCACTGTTGACCTCAACAAGATCATGGATGACCGGTGCGTCGCAGCGTTCGTTGGCCTCGATCTTTCAGCCACCTTCGACACCATTGACCATGAGAAACTCATTGAGCAGATGAGGTCAAGGTTTGGTGTATTGGGTATGGCACTAGAGTGGATTCAGTCATACCTGTATAGTGGATTACAGTTCGTCAAGTGACGAACAGTCATCGCCTGTGCCGTGCCTAGTCAGCGTACCACAGGGGTCCATCCTAGGGCTCTTCCAATTTTCAAAATGTCACTCCAATCGCCGATGTCATCACATCACGTAATATCAAGTTCAATATATATGCTGATGACTCACAATTGTACACCGCAATGAAGTCCAAGTTAAATGTGGAGCGCCTCGGCAGCCTCGAAGATTGCAAGCGAGCGGTGCACGTGTGGTTTGCATGAAACGAAATTGTGCGAGGATCAGGTGTGGCAGTTGCAGACTCAAGGATTCAGTTTTTAATGACTCTAAAGAGCCTCGACGTCATACTCGACCAGTATATGTCAGGTGATCACCACATGCAAAATGTAGTCAATTTCTGTAACCACTGCGGTGACGTGTAGCATAGTATCGATAAGGCACAATTATTGCAACACACCGCTCTATGGGACGTTCGCATGTGTTGTAACGGGCATTGCAAGATCCGACCATGTCCATCCAGTGCTCGCCGAGCTGCTTTAGCTTCCAGTTGCCGACCAAATACATTGTTACTGTATAAGGTCGTACTCATAACACAAAAAGAGCGTGCCACAAATGAACTACAGTACCTTCCTAATCACATCAAGAAGCATAAACAATCACGCGAACTCCAGTTATCCTCGCAGCGGCTTTTGGCTAGCCATCGAACAAAGACAGTTAACGCATCGTACGCTTTCAGATGCGCTGCTGCGGCCGTCTGGAACGATATTCCTTCCGATGTTAGGAAGTCACTGTAGTTTGCACTTTTAAATCATATAGATTGAAAACTAATTTCTTTAAGACTGCTTTTTGTGTTTAGTTTGTTGTACGTCCCCTGCACCTCTGATGAGCAAGGTTGGCTACGTACGGTGCCAAAGAAGTTCAACATATATACGTACATTGCGGTTCATTTGTGGCAAGCACGTTGTGTGTAATGAGTGCCACGTGCTTCTGCAGAAGAAGCGTGGGCACCCACCTTGATCTGCGTGTCGGGCTTCGTTTTGAAGCAGACGGCGATGTACAGAGCGGGCGGAACGATGGCGATGAGGAGTGCCCAGTTTTGGTCCATTTTGAAAACGAAAGTGAAGCAACCTGAGGACAGACACGAGACAAATACCACACGAGCTGAATACCATCATTATCATCTCACCACCACTATTACCATCATCACGACCATGATTGACAACGAAAACCGTTCAATCAGCTGTAAAGCAAACAGTGCACTCAGATTAACAGTCGTGCAGCCTGTGTATAAAAACACTTTTTGGCTGAAATAAACATACAGCAGTTTGAATACCCCGGCACACAAGCAATACTCCTCACAATATCATTAACACGCAAGCAGTGCGCATACGTTATGATGAGAGGATTAACACGACCACTCACTTTGAGGTTGTGTGCGATAAACACCAAACGATGGACATTTGTTATCATAAAATATGGCAATCAAAAATCTCGTGGAAGGAACAACTGTGAGTGACGACATGAAGCCACACACGACTGTGAGCAGAAGTGTTCCAAGTTAACTTTTATAATGAACCAAACTATTTGAATTATACCAGATCAGGCCCACTGAGCTATGTAGTTTTTTTTTCAGAAGCAAGTTGGCCAAAAATAACAGCTGAACGAAGTGGCTTATTACGTGGAAATGGATAGCAGCCAAATACTCTAAACGCGTGATTTTGATTCTAAACGTGGAGAAAAAAACCAGAGAACCCAGTTAAAAATCAACATGACCACGAGAAAAGACATGCGAACTCCAAATATACAGGCGTCAGGGTCGGGTTCAAACCCACGACCTCCTGTATACCAGGCGAGGGAGTTAGCACCGCTCCACCATGGCGCCATCTCTTTTCATGTAGTCCCTGCATCAAAAGGATGAACCCGGGTAAATAAAATAAAAACACAGGACATGTGACAACCCAAAGTCACCTGCAATCATGAGACAGACGGTGGCCGGACCCATGATAGAGGTGGCCATGTAGATGATCTGATAGACAATGTAGAGCCGAGAGATGGACGGGTTCTTCGTGGCCGTGCGGACGCCATTTTCCAGGATGCTGAAGGTGTTAGCCATCGTGGAGGGGCCCCAACGCCTCCGCTGGTTGAAGAACTCCTTGAATTCCTGTGGGGCGTTGGTGTAGGCGTCCGATCCGGCGCAATACTCGACGCGCCAGCCCTGCTGCAGCATCAGCGTGCACAGCCAGCGGTCCTCGCCTGCACCGACAAATGGGAGAGGGGACGTCCGCGAGTTAGAGGGTAACCGGCTCATCGTGCCCACAGCCGGCACCAGCTCCTGGCCGAGCGGCGTTTCTCTGTAGCTGCACCGGCAGTAACCATCTGAAATGCTCTCTCTCTCTCTGTATCTCCCACTGATGCACATGCACGAGCAGTAGCAACAGCATCCAACCAGCATCATCCACCATCAAGAAGTACTCTCACCTGTTAATGCTCTCACCTATCTAAGGTCTCAACCGTCCAGGCTCTCACCTGGTTCAGAGTGGTGTATGAGGGATTTTGACCAGTTTGCGTAGTGTGCATGTTGCATTAATCATGAAGGCTGCTGGAAGTGCGTCTCTTCCCCAGCTTGCTCACTCCACTGCTGGCAGAGGAGCTTGGCAACATTCCCTCTCTCGTGGTATTTTTGGCCTCCTCTCTGCAAGCTTGCCAGACGTCTTGGACAGAGATCTGAATACCCACACCTTAGAGTCACCACACGCGACCTCCCGATCAACTTTGTAGTGAGCCCATTCATACAGAGGGCATGGTGGGGAGGGGAGTGGTGCATACAAATCTGACTGAGAAGGCAGAGAGCAACGTTGTAATGATTAATGATTCGTTCATTGTGGGTCCGATCATGGTGCAGGTATAATATCAGTCATTCAAGTTGTCAATTGGGCGAATGTCAACACATTTTTCATTAGAAAAAGTTAAATGTAAATAAATAATATATTATATTAATATTCACGTAACATTTTTTTTATATTTTGCTTGCCTTTCAATATTCTGGTTTTGCTAATTAAACCAAAATCATCGATGTAGTTGTCCATGACCTAACAACCTTACCCAATTGGCTCTGTCGGATGGCGGATGCTTATAGTTAAAACAAATTAACACTCTACCTACACGATAATCTAACCCAGCATGAACGAATTGTGATTCATGAATATTGGTCGTGAAAGCCTATGTATGAAATTGATGTTGCGGGGTCTCGGCCCACTATTACTGTGATGTATGGTGCGAAAGAGATTCTAAATAATACAACGTCCACGTTTGCAGACGAGATTTCCAAAGAATTGTAGGTCTTTTTTAACCAATGCGACAAATATACGCATTGATCACATCAGCCAGAAGGGTTGGGTGGGAAATTAACAATCAGATGGGAGAGTCCACTGATGGAATTGTGACTGAAGAAAGAGTTGCAATTATTTCCACAATATATATAATAATACTAAACTATTTTTAATTTTATTTTACCAGGTAAGGCCCACTTGTGCCATGCAGCTCTTTTCAGAAGCGACCTGGCCACAAATGAAAGGTCATCGAAGTGCCTTATCATGTGGAAATTAACATCAGCCAAAGGTTGTAAGCACGTGATGTTGCATCTAAATGAGTAGGGAAAAACTAGAGGACCCGAAGAAAGTCTGCGCAACCACGGGGAGGGGGAGAGAGAGAGAGAGACGCAAATTCCAATATACATGCTTCAGGGTCGGGATTGAACTTACGACCTCCTGTATACCAGGCGAGGGAGTTAACATCTCGCCACCGTGACATGTATACATGTTGAACTTCTTTCGCACCACACGAGCCAACCGTTCTAATCAGAGGTGCGAGATCCAGACACACGTCGACGCTTACCCTGGTCATACTGGATGTACTGCAGGGCCTCAGTGGCCACTGTGGTGTAGGTCTTGAGGACGTTGTCATCCATGATGGCCTTGGCTCGGAAGAGGCTGAAGCAGCCAGGGCTGCAGAGAACGCAGCCCAGCACGTGCTCGGCCGTCTTCTGCAGCCAGTGGCCTACCGCATACTCGAACTTCTGGTACCAGACGAGCGGCCCTGTCGGTGTATAAACAATTGTGGTTAATTGGCTGAACGCAATTCAAAGTGAAAACACAATGCAGCAATCCTACAATTCAGGTGTGGCTTTCTTGGCTACATCTATGTCACTCTTTGGTTCTTTCAGTAAAGTCACGTAGAAATAATCCAAGAGTAATTCCTGCAGTCACGAAAGCTTCAAATCAAGTTTTGACAAATATGTTGAACGTATGTTGTATATATGTATGTTGTATGTGGGTTGTATGTTGTATTGTGTGTTGTATTCATGTTGTATGTACGTTGTGTGTATATATGTTGAAAAAAGGACTGTGGGTTTTGCATTGGAACCACAACCAAAGGAAGTTTTCTTTGTAAACATGGAGAGCGATGTTAGAACATTGAATTCCGATATTGGGAGGAAATAATTGCTGACTACGGGGGATCAACGGTGGGTCAATAGGAGTGGTAAGAATGTACAGGAGGAGGGAGAGGGAATAGGCAGTGGGGCAATGGAGGGGAGGATTGGATACATTTGGGGGGTAGAGAGGGAGGGAGGGTTTGGATGAAGAGTGGACGGCTAGAGGGTAGGGAAGGGCAGGCTGGGGAGATGGAAGGAGGGGGTAATGAAGAGGGCAGGAGGTGAGGAAGAGAAGCAAGCAGGGAAGAGTGATCCGGGAGGTCACGGTGGGAGAGCGGGAGGGCAGGGAGTAGAGGGATGGGTGGGGTAAAAAAAAAAAAAGATCTTTGAATTATTATCCTCTTTTAATTGCGCATTTGTTATTCATTTATTTTAAATTGTGCATTCATAAATAGATGCGATTTTTGTTATAACAATGAGTCAATGAGTGGCTAAATCTGTGCTCTCGGGTTTCCTGGGTGAAAAGTGGGGTTTGTGTCCGAGCCCAACGCCGGTCCCGCCTGGTTCGACCACTCAATAAACGAAGGACATTTGAATTGTGCCGTTAAAGCATCGATATTGGATATTAGTGCGTGCCACGTAGTTTGATTTCATCGCAACTATGTTTGATTATATATTCTTGGTTCTTTCGGTAGTCACGTAGAAGGGAAACAATAATACCATGAGAGATTCGTTCATGAGGCTATTCACATATACAAACACAGAGACAATTTCAACCGAGAAGATGGATTCTTGCTTAGCAATCATTGGAAGGATTTGATAAACCATTTCGGGTCTTAATTGATTGTTCACGCTTATGGTGGCTTTCAGACAGCATACATTCATTTTTCGTCTCCCCCCTCCTCTTTTCCGAACATAGATGGACTCGTCCATCTGAATAACTGCCAAATCGCTCTCCGTGGTGCTAACGTTAAAAAACGCCACTTTTTTCAAATTTTCTTGCTGTGGTTTTCATACCTGATGATAATTGCTTGTGTTGCAGTCGAAACGTCGTGAGAATTTTATTGTTTTATATATTTTTTTAAATTGTTTTATTGTTTCCCTTCTACGTGACTTTACCGAAAGAACCACGAATATGAATCCCTGCAGCCACGAAAGCTTTAAATCAAAATTTTATGTTTGGTTAGTTAGCCTGCTCAGCATGGCGCGTGCCAGCTCATGCCAACTGATACCTCTCCTGGCAGATTTCAGTGACAGCCCTTGTTTATTTGGGCACCTAACCTCTAAGGGAATAGTACAGGTTTTGGCCATCTACTTGATTATTATGTTTGTGAGCCAGCTGGTCAGGAAGGTTGGACGATTACCAAGGTTGGTGATGTGTTGGATTATTACATCGCAGAGTCGTGAGAGATGGCGACAACTTGGGGAGGCGTTCTTCCCGCAGTGGATTGACCACGGCTGATAATAATGATATACATTTTTTACTTAAAAGTTTCGTGACTGCAGGAATTCATATTCTTGGTTCTTTCGGTAAAGTCACGTAGATAGAAAATAACAATGTTAAATAAAAAAATAAAAATAAATAGAAAATAATAAAAGCAAAAAACTCTCCTGATGAATACGTCAATTTATTTTAAATTTTAAATGTAACATTTATTTGATTATTCTTATGTCTTATTTTCTATCTACATGACTTACCGAAAGAACCAAGAATAATAATAATTATCTAGGATTTGTGCAATTTACTCCGAAGTCTTTGCAATTTCTTGGTATTTCATTTGAGTTATGTAAAGTTAAACTTCCATTACTAGTGGTGGTGGTGGTCTTTCTCAGACCACTTCATGATATAACAATTATTCTCCATGTGCACTCGGCACTGCTGTGGTGGATGCGTGTTGACTCAATTACAATCCTTTCACCGTGCTTACATGTGTGGGTATTTGTTCATTTAACTTTCTTTAAACATCCCGAGTAGTTGTGATAGCAACGGCGTTCTGTTATTCTAAATTAAGGTTTTTGGGTTAGATCATGTAAGCGTAAAGGTATCGTAACCCTCCTCCATCCGACACAGCCAGTAAGGTTTTTCACCTAAGCAAAACGTGCAAATTAGTTACTACTTCAGCGCACCGGTTTGTTGGAGAGTAAATCCACAACATTTACAATGAATAATATTATTTTTCCAAAACCTATGTGTTAAACTAGCGTTTTGTTATTGTTCTGAAACATCAGCGAGGCAACTGGATCCTGTGCACTGAGGGTGAATCTTGTGTGAGGATTGCATCAGGGACACCTTAGGCCACTGCAATTTGCATGTTTACCATTTACTTCAACGATAAGGCGAAGGCGTTCACGGTGCTGAAGTTCATACGCCGAGCAATAAAAAGCCGAGCAATAAAACGTGCGGGGTGGGCAGTGAGCGTGGCAAGCATGCGGTTTGCACAGTTAAATTGTGTGGCTCAACCAGGAAGTGGGGGGGGGGGCATTGATTTCCCCACCCAGAATGCAGAATCACTGTCGGGGGTTTCACATTTCATTAATAAACGCAACACTTTTCAGGATATGTCCCCCCCCCCCCCACTTCCATAACCTGTAAACAATAAAAATCACGCTGTACATATCTGCCATCCCCACGCAACCATTCTCAAGCGCTGTCCAGGCTCGGCGCTGCTGAGATCTGGTGACAACGCGCACCAAAGATCCCCTGTGTAGCATTAACAGACTGTTGGAGCAAGTGCTGTTCATGAGAAGCGTCTATGAAGGCCAGCATGGCATACGGCTGCCTTTGTCTCCCCAGCGGCGATATTTAAACATCACATCAGGTGATAATTTGAGGCTGAGTTGACCTAGGGGAGCCGCTGGACGGGTTCAGACAATCGTCACTGGTGTTGACCTTGAGCGGGAATCGAACTTGGGTCGCTAGGTTCATAGCACATTGTGCTAACCACTGCACTACCACTCTGCACCACACACACACACACACATCCTACACCACACACACACATCCTGCACCAAACGCACATCCTGCACCACACAAGCACCCTGCACCACACAAGCATCGTGCACCACACAAGCATCCTGCAAAACACACACATCCTGCACCATACACACATCCTGCACCACACACACACACATCCTGCACCACACACACACACACATCCTGCACTACACACATCCTGCACCACACACACACACATACCGTACCACACACATCCTGCACCACACACACACCCTGCACTACACATGTCTAGCACCACACACATCCTGCACCACACACATCCTGCACCACACACACATCCTGTACCACACGCATCACAGCTGTCTACGCACCCACGCCCGTCGGGTGAATTCTCCCGCAGGCGGCGCCAACGGTGGGGTCCCTCCTGAGTCGGTCGACCAGCATGGAGAGCGCCGAGGGGTAGAAGTCCGTGTCTCCATCTAAGGCCAGCACGTAGGTGTTGCGCTTCTTCCTCTGTGGCGGTGAACGGGGAGTAGTGGCACGGAGATAGATCAGCAACAGCGGTGGCATTACAGCCGTGCCCTCGTACAGAGCAAGCAAAGCAACTGCTCACTTAGCTCGTCAACCCCAACACTCCTTCTCCAACCTCTAACAAGCAAACACACAACGTATGTATGCTGTATGCATATTGTATGTATGTATGTTGAACTTCTTTCGCACCATATGTAGCCAACCATGTTCGTCGGGAAAGGACAACAAACTAAACACAAACTGCATTTCACAGAAATGAGTGTTCAAAATAGATGATTTAAAAGTGCATAGCTCCAGTGGATTCCTAATAATAACCACGCGGGTGGAGAGATCGTTGCTATCTGCAGTCCTACAACCTCTGGAAACAACCTCCCCGAAGCGGTGCGCACACTCGACTCCATTGTCACTTCATTAACAGTGACAACTCAACAGCAACAAAGCGGCTCTTTTCGCTTGCGTACAACAACTCCGGTCATCCTCGCAGCAGCGGCTTTGGGCGAGCCATTGAACAAAGATGGGCACTTCTTCTCGCGCTTTCAGATGCACTTCTACGGTCGTCTGGAATGCTCTTCCTTCCGATATTAGGAAGCAACTGGAAGTTTGCACTTTTAAATAATCAATTAGATTGAAAACTACATTCTCTAGAACTGCTTTTTGTGTTTGGTTTGTTGTCCTGCCCCCGCACCTCCAATTAGCACGGTTGGCTACGTACGGTGTAAAAGAAGTTAAACATAAATACAACTAAATTTCAGCCGCAAACCTATTTTAAACTTATATATTAAACAACTGTAATAAGTGTATATATTTTTTTCTTTTTGTATATAAAGTTATATTGCTATTGTAGTGACGTATATTGGGTCACTACGGTGTTTAGCGCCAGTTTCTGACAGAAGAGGGGAACTGTGCGTGTTAGAGCCTCTCGCTGGCACCAGAGTATGTGTGGCATGGAAGGGGGCCCTGCAAGGCATGCTTCTGGTGACTGTCAGAGAGAGGGCAGTTGAGGACGTGACAGTCAAGGTGAACCTGAGAAGGCACGTGACCAGGACAGGATATTGAGGGGGGCCAAAAGGTGGCGAGAGGGACACGTGATATATGGCCCAGAACCTTCTGGTAATATCCAGAAGGGGGCGTGGCCGAGGGCGGAGCCAGACCACGCTCAGCGGCATAAAGGGGAGGTCCCTAGAGACGATCCAGGCAGTCTGTTGGAATGGAACCTGTCGGTGCTACGCTTCTTCGATCCTTAGTCCTCGGTCGTTGGTCTTTACGCTCGGCATCGTGGGTCAGGCAGTGTGTTACTGACGGACCCGGTTATATTTCGATTTAAAGCTTTCGTGACTGCAGGGCATATTCTTGGTTCTTTCGGTAAAGTCATGTAGAAGGGCTCACGGCATTTCGGCTGCTTGCGTTGTGGCCGAAACGTCGTGAGCCCTTCTACGTGACTTTACCGAAAGAACCAAGAATATTACCCGGTTATGTAGTTACCACGTTGTGGTCTAGTTACCCGTTGTCGTCTAGTTCACCTGCTGTATGTTTATGTAGTTACCCTGTTGGGGTTTGAGAATAAACGTGTTGCCTCCAAGTCCAAGTGTGTGCTTCCGTGGAGCCCACTGCACTATTTTGAGTATCAACGTGATGATGGCGCGTTGAGTGACAGATTGTGCCAGAAAGGCAACCAAAGATAGACTTGAAATGTGCCGACTCTGCTTGCACAGACACGCATAGTGCACGCTATGACTGGGCCTCGACCCGGAGGGAGAGAGTCCGAGAGAGAGAGACCCTCTAACAAACTAAACAATTTTAATTTATAAGGCAAGATCCACTGAGCAATTAGCTCTTTTCAGAAGCGACCTGGCTATCACAAATGATAGCTCAACAAAGTGGATTATCACTTGGATATTTATAGCAGCCAAATACACGAAATGCGTGATGTTGATGTGATGTTGATTCTAAATGTGGAGCGAAAAACCGGAGGACGCAGAGAAATTTCCATGCGGCCAAGGGGAGAGAGACACGTAAACTTAAAATAGCAGGTGTCAGGGTCGGGATCGAACGCAGTACCTCCTGCATACCAAGCGAGGTAGTTAACATCTCGCCACGGCGGCCCCCTAACAGGGTGTACCCCACCGCACGCAGAGTGTGAAGTCACACTCTACCCCACCACACGTAGAGTGTGAGTACTCACTGCCCATCCACGGAATGTGCAGGGCCTACCCATTTATACTGCTAAGTGGAAGAGGAAAGTTGCCTCCCCTAGGTCGGCTTAGCCTTAAATGAGTAAACATTAGCACTCATGAGACAAAGATAGATGGGCGTGGTGTTGGACACACGACCCGCTCGTGTGCCATCCCACCCTTAACAGGTGCTCGCTAACAGCACTTGCCTAAACAGTTTGTTAATGGATATATGAGGCGTCGTTGTCTTTGCAGTTTACAAAATCCTTACCTCTACCCATTCCTCTTGTTCATCTTTATTAACTGTGTGGATCTTGCGGTAGATCTTCCAGCCAAGTAGGTAGTACAAGTACATCACCTGTACAGAACACGTCAAGGGGTTAAATAACAACAATCACCATCTGCAGCAGCAGCCGTGATCGATCCACTACTGGATTAAGACCTACCCAAGTCGTCGCAATGTTTCATGAGATCCTGAGTCGTTATCCACCCAGCTGCCACTCCGTTATTATTCTCGACCCAATGGCCATGACAGCGCGTGCTGCTCAAGTGTAACTCAACAGCGCCACCAACCTCCCCCCCCCCCCCCCCCCCCCCCCCAAGTCGTGGATAGAAGGCAATAGAACAACACGCAAATGAGTATCGGCGTGAGATTTCTGTGATACATCGATAACAACCCTGGTGCAGTCATCATCATCGTCATAGCACTCAACTGGCAACACCACGGAACACCAAATCAATCGAGTCGGGGAACACTCGGTCACGGACAATACTGCTTTGTTCAAATCGTTGACAGTACTTGCCCTAAAAAGCCTGCTGAAACTATATGGAGTATCTTTGTCTCTATGGTGTGCACTGATTCGCACATGAAACTAATTGTGAATCACGTGATTTAATTTCAATATGAGGGCATGACTCTCGAGGCAGCATACAGATGGCTTCAATAGACGTGAGCTATTGCATTATCCTTCGTATGACTGATGCTGATGTCGACTCGTACAGCGAGAGTTGTAACTTTACATCGAGGTGGTTGACGAGTCAGATGATTGCGTCAGGAGTAGCGGAGTGGCGAATCATCGCTGCTGTGATGATGCCTCTCCCTTCGTTCGTGTTGGGAATCAGACGTTGAGTCGTTTTGTGTTCCGTCACTGTTCCAGGTGGTGACATTGTCGATATTAGGAATGCACTAGAGCTATGCACTTTTAAATCTAGATTGGATACTAATTAATTTATAACTGCTTTCTGTGTTTATTTTTTGTATCCTCTCTACCTCCGATTAGCACGGTTGGTGAGGTACAGTGCGAAAGAAGTTGAACATACATACGTATCGTCGCCGGACACATATATTCCAATTGTGCATAATCGTCATCGTCATGTAGAAGCACATCATCTGTTGCTGTTGCTACTATGCTCTGTGTGTGGATGCAGTTGTAGGCTTTGTGGCCCAATGAGCTTTGGGGCAGAAGATCTGAAGCACAGGGATGTAACAAATACCTGGGACCAGCGCTTGCGGTGGCGGATCATCTCCTTGTCCTTGAGGTGCACGCACAGCGAGTTGCCGTGCGGGAGTTTGTAGGAGAGTCGCGCTCCGTACGGCGTCTGAGTCCTCTCCATTGAGGGCGCCTCTTGTGAATTCTGCGAGTTTTTCTCAAAATACCTTCACATCAGCAGCAGCGCAAGCGACAGAAAAGACATGGCCCAATTACTATGTTCCATTGCTGCTACTGCTGTCATATCTGGGATGAAGTCCCCAGTTACCACCTCACTGCTGCACCCGGATTTTTTTTATAATTTATATTATTTTGCTGCTATAAATTTCGACATGAAAAGCCACTTCGTTGCGCTACCATTTGTAGCCAGTGTGCTTCTGAAAAAAAAGCTAATACCTCAGTGGGTCTTACCTGGTAAAAAATATATTTTAGTTTTATTTGTGTTTTTGTGATTGCTAATCTGTCCAATACTTTGCACTCCTATCGTGTTTTTTATTGTTGTTGAGGTAACGGTCTGACCGGCCCCTGCTGGACATCTTTGAAATAGAGCTTTGTAGCTCATCGAATTCCTCCTGCAGTATAAATACATATTCTGATTCTGAATTGAGTAAAGCAGCAGCAGTCGTGGGTGACTGATGATTCAGCACTCAAAGATAATCTCCGAATCGTTTGCTCGCTCTCCGCCGGTCAGTCGCCTCCGTATCTCACTTCTATCGCTACTACTTGTACAACCATTGTTACTGTTCACACGAACTTCGCTGCTCGATTCCTCCACCCACGTCGAGGGCCTCAGTCGCCCAGACTGAGTCGTCTCCTTGCCTAAATTCTTACCAACGCACGAACAAAAGACAAAGATCCCTCCATATAGCCTTCAACAGAGTGTTGGGGCAACGGCCGTTAGCCAGTAGCACCCATGAAGGACGGCCCGGCACACAAGGGGGTGGGTGACCAGCACCACGCCCGCCTGCTTTTATCTCCCCAGTGCTGCACCGTTTTGTGTAAATTATGTTAAGTGCCTAAAGCGCTCTATAGCAAGGTTGGCGATGTATGGTGTGAAAAAAGTTCAACAGATGAGGCTTCCTGCTCAATTCAACACACGCGTGAACGCTCATCTATCACACCGCCCACCACAGTGTTTCTGTTTGCTGGCCAATTGTCCGCACTCACGCCGTTCATCTCCGTGACCATCATCAATCATCGTTCACTATGATCTATTCAATTCTGAATGAAGGCATCGGCGCAACCTGTTGCCATCCTTTTTGTGGTCTCTCGCACCACGGGCTGAGCTTAACCGCCCCGTGTCGTCCCTTTCTTCGTTATTACAAGGCCCGTGTCTCTATCCATCCATCCCTCCCTCCCTCCACACACCCAGCTCATCGCTACCACAAAATAACATCTGGTGCACTGACCGGCACACTTCGGCGATGACGTCCGTGAGGCTGGTCACGAACTGGTTGAGCACCATGCGATCTCCCTTCCTTTCGAAGGCGTCGTCGAAGTAGATGTGAGCAGAGAAGTCGTACGGTTCCCGCTTAAACGTCTTCTCCTCCTTCTCTTTATTATACTCCTTCTTCTCCTCCTTCTTATGTTTAGTCTCCTTCTCCCCCTTCTCTTCCTCCTCCATTTCCTCCTTCTTCTGCTTCTTTCCCTCGTTCTCTTTCTTCTTCTCTTCTTTCATTTTCTTCTTCTCCTCCTCCTTCTTCCCATCTTGCTCCTCCTTCCCCTGTTCTTTCTCCCTCTTATTCTCCTTCTTCTCCATCTTCTTTTCCTCCTTCATTTCATCCTTTTTCTCATTCTTCTTCTTCCCTCCGCCGTGGGAACCGACATTGAGATCCTTCGGCTGACTCCTGTCCAGCCTGGCAGTGGCAAGGGGGAAGGGTGGTTATTGTTATTTCGCAACACGCTCCCCATCGAGTCAAGGTCATGGTACAGCATCGCTCTCCTCTGCAATCGAGCGCTCTCCCAAGCTCTGCCGCCAAAACATTCTCTCCACCTTTCTCATCCCACTGATCACAGCAAACTTCCACCGCATCCTACTGAGTTCAACTCACAACGAAACTTTACCCATCGCTGGCACCGGCTTCTGGATGAGTGCGTTTCTCTGTAGCTGTACCAGTCAGCAGCCATCTGGAACTCTCTCTGTACCTCCCACTAGTGCACACGCAGCAGCAACCAAGAAGCAGACTCTAACCCATCCTGGCTCTCACCAATCCAGGCTCTCATCTGTCCTGGGTCTCACCTGTCCAGGCTCTCACCTGGTTCAGGCTTTCACCTATCCAGGCTTTCACCAGTCCAGGCTCTCATCTGTCTAGGCTCTCACCTGGTTGAAGCTCTCACCTATCCAGGCTTTTACCTGTCCACACTCTTAATATTAGTATTTATCATAATAATATTGGATGCGGGAGCCTAGACGTGTTAACTCAAGAGAAGTCTACAGCTTGCACTATTCACAAACATCGCTCAATGGTCACATACAAACAACGGTCTGCGTTAAACACGATCGGCTGATTAGCTGCGACGTTCGAAGGAGGGCAAATGTTCTCGAGGTTAGGAAGGCGCTGCTCCATGTGAAGATGTCATATTCATCAGCATCCAAAGAAAATTGAAAATACACCGCCCACAAATACTACACTGCGTGTGGGTGGTTAAATGTCCAAGGTCGAAATATGACGGTCGTATTTGCGACATGGTAATATGGCATTGCTGTAGATTGTCCAAATAAGAGCCACAGTAATATGGTTCTATTTTGTTTAACATTTTTTCACCGGCATATGCATTGCTGCATATATCACGATATATTTTTTTCAGGACACTTTAAACGTGCAGTTTAGATTCATATCCTCAAATCTCGTTGAGCTGAAGGGAGGAACGCGGTAGCGTGGTAGCCTGACTGGTGTGGTGCCCTGCAGAAATGAATGTACGTATGTGTGGTGGACTTATTTCACACCATACGTACCCAATCAAGATAATCGAATGTGCAGGGGAAGGACAACAATCTAAACACAAAAATCAATTCTGAAGAAATTAGTTGTCAATATTATTTAAAAGTGCATAGCTCCAGTTGCTTCCTAATATCGGAAGGAAGAGTGTTCCAGACGGCCGCAGAAGGGCATTTGAAAGTGCGCAGTGCCGTGACCACACCCCATCTGCATAATCGCGAAGGACCCCCACTGGCCTTTGGGATCCGGCCGCTTGATGGAATTGGGCGATAGGGAATATACCACCTCAGGATGGACGAGATGATCTTCGTCATCTCCTCCTTGGTCTCGTGCCACATGGTTGCGCACAAGTAGATCTTCACCCTCTCTTGCTTGTGGTTGCTAGAGGATACAACGAGAACATTAAATCATGTTCAGATTGAGAGAGGGAATCGCAGAGCGCGGGTTCTCTGTTTTATGCATTGGGCATATTGTGGGATGGACATATTTCAGTCTGTAGAACAGAAGGGCAAACGTCACAAATCGTCATCATTATGAAATAAAACAGAAAGAAAAAAATCCTGCTTTGATTATATGACCATACTTAACCTCCGATACCCAAAACACGAAACATAGACAAAAGCATCGACCAGACTAACACAAACTAAAAACAAAGATCGCCCATAGAGCCTTGAGAGACTGTTGGGGCAAGGGCTGTTAGCGACTAGCACCGATGAAGCCAGAAAAAGGACTTGAGGGAGTTTATGGCCAGTCACACAGACACACACCTAGTCACACAGACACACACCTTGTCAAACAGAAACCTAATCACACTTACACCTCGTCACATAAATACAGCAAACAAAAAAAGTTCCCCTGTGTAGCCTGAACAAACTGTTGGGGCACGTGCTGATAGCGAGCACCTATGAAGGCCGACACTGCACACAAGCGGGTGGGTGGCCAACACCACGCCCGGCCGCCTTTGTCTCCCCAGTGGTAATGTTTACACACCACACCAGTTACTAATTTGAGCAAGGGGAGGCCATGACCTATTCACACACACCTACTCACAGAAACACAGTCACACACACACCTACTCACAGAAACACCTAGTCACACACACACACACCTACTCACAGAGACACCTAGTCACACACACACCTACTCACAGAGACACCTAGTCAGACACACCCACCTACTCACAGAGATACCTAGTCACACACACCCACTTACTCACAGAGACACCTAGTCACAAACACACACCTACTCACAGAGACACCTAGTCATACACACACACACCTACTCACAGAGACACCTAGTCACACACACCCACCTACTCACAGAGACACCTAGTCACACACACACACACACCTACTCACAGAGACACCTAGTCACACACACACACCCACCTACTCACAGAGACACCTAGTCACACACACACACCTACTCACAGATACACCTAGTCACACACACCCACCTACTCACAGAGACACCTAGTCACACACACACACCTAGCACCTAGTCACAAATTACTCATAGTCACACACGCAAGTACAATACACCGCACCAACACCAACAGACGGACCTCCTCTCCTCCAGCACCACCACCTCCTCCTCCTCCTGCTGCTGCTGCCGCCGGTTGAGCAGCAGCCCCGCGACGAGACACGCAGGCTGCGGGGTGCGGCGCACAAAGAGCTCGCGTGTGCGCTCCATGCGCGTCGCGTCATCTGGGCGCAACGCGGGCGCCGCCGCCAGCAGCAGCGCCGCGAACCACAGAGCCCCGGCGCCGAACGTGGCCACGGCGTCCACTGCGGAGTCCTCGCCGGCGCCTACGAACGAGCAGACGGCGGCGGCCGTGCGGTCGTAGAAGAGTGAGGCGGTTGCGGGCGTCGTCCGCTCGGAGCCGTTCCACCGTCGGACCGACTCGCAGTCGTAGCGAGAGTCGCCCGAGGCGTCGAGCGCGAGGTGGAGGGCGAAGACGACCGCCAGGGCGGCGGGCGTGGCGAGGCAGAGCGGCGCGGCAAAGCAGCTCCCCTGCTGGCGGATCTTGCAGGCGGCGTTCGCGAGCCACTTGCAGAGGATGGAGGCGCCCGTCTGCACGCCCAGCAGAGCCAGGGCGAGCGTCATGCTCTCGCGGTGTTCCGCAATGCCGGCGATGGCGCTGAAGCTCCTCCACTCGCCCTCGACGCCCGCGCCCAGCAGCACGACCGCCACGATGATGAGCGTGCGCACAAGCGAGCCATAGAACTCGGCGAGGTTCCGCGATTCGCCGACGGCGTCGCGGAATCCCTGGAGCCAGCCGGCCGGCAGGAAGTTCTCCCACCACGACAGGGACACGAGGAGCAGGCTCAGCAGCAGCAGCGCCAGATGAGCGAACCTTTCCTCCGTGGAGCCGTCGTCGGGCGCCACCAACACCGCCTTGGCGACCGACAGGGCGAAGGCGACGAGACAGCAGCAGAGGGAGGCCAGACTCAGGAGCTTGGACGTCCGGGGCGGCTTCCTGCGTCCCGTCCACCTGCCGGCGAACTGCAGCGCGCTCGGCACCAGGGTGACACCATTGAGGAGGAGGATGCTGCTGAGAAGGTTCGCCGACTCCGCCGGGAGGACGACGATGGCCATGAGCGCCGCGCCGAGTCCGATGAAGCCTTCTAGCAGGCAGTTCTGGGTGACGCCCAAACAAACGCAAGGACATTGAGACATAGAGAGATTGAGGATTGTTGGAATCGTGAAACACACGCCAAACAAACACAGGGGTTAGCGTGGTTTGGTTTTTAAAGGCCTCGTTGTCGTCTTTATACAAACAGGTGACATGTGCTGTTCAACGTTGGCGAGGCATGGGAAAAAAAGGAATGCATACATCAAGGCCACGCAGAGTTTGACGAATGTTTTGAAGTTGTTGTTTACTGGCCTTTGGCACGACTGCCAACGCAGCTGCAGCATCCCCAACATACTCTTTCCACATTTTATATGCCCGCAATGCATTGTCAAATGACTCCGTGAATGATATTCATTGTTTCATTTTTGTTAACGATATAGACGCGATGCTGCTGCGAGGTAATGGTCAGCACAGTCGACGTGCAATTCCTCAGGCCGCCGGGTCTATCTCCCAATGCGGCAGCTGAAACAAACGGGCGAGTTTGTGACCTCAGAGCCAAGGGGGTGCGGGGGGGGGGGTCTAGCGTGATGAGTCCAGGGGCAGAATCATGATTTGCATTTATACTTGAGGAATCCTATGAGCTATACATCTCCTTTTCAAAGATGTCCAGTCGAGGGGGTCAGATAGTTACAACAAAAAAACAATACAAAAAACACGTTACAAGTGTAAAGTATGGTAAAGATAAACAAATCTATACAAATAAAAATGAACTATTTTATTTTAGCAGGTAAAGTCCACAGAGCTATTAGCTTATTTTTTCAGAAGCGACATCCATAAACGATAGCTCAACGTAGTGGCGTATCACTTGGACATTTATAGCAGCCAAATACTCTAAATAATCTAAACGCATGTTCATTATAAATGTGAAGGGAAAAACCGAAGGACCCGGAGAAAAAATCCACTCGAGCACAGGGAGAATATGCACACTCCAAATATACAGGCGTCAGAGTCCAGATCGAACTCACGACCTCCTATATACTCAGCGAGGAATATAACATCTCGCCATTGTGGTGGCCCATTCGCTTCCTCTTTCCTCTCACTCGTCCCTCTACTCCATCCTTTTCTTTTTTATAGCTCTTCCATTACCCCTAAGTACGCCTCTATCACTCTCACTCATTCCTCAATCCTTGTAACACGCTCGTGTACACTAGATCATTCCATTTTGTAATCGTTATGTAAGCTACGTCATAGAGCGCATTGGGTGAAGGCGCTCTATGGAAATGTAATTTAGATTAGACATTGGCTTGCAGCGTGGACAAGTAGGGCAACACACCCATGAGAAGAGTCACGCCACCAATGCTGGAGGCGTTGACAGAGCAACTTCAAGACTGCACCTTTGCCTTGACCTCTGTCCGTCTTTGTCTCTCTCTGAATCTTACCAGAGCGATCATCTTCCGATTGGAGACATCGGAGTTCTTAAAGGCGAGCCGGAGGCCGCAGCGGATGGAGCTAAAGATGTTGGGGATGACGAGAACGAAGGCGAGGACCCAGGAATAGAACTGGTTCTGGTCGAGCTCGCCGGCCTGCCTGGCGACCCTTTTCATCTCGGCCAAGTACACCAGGCTCAGCTGCATTCCACCACATTGCACACGCGAGACAGAAAAAAGCGTCAAGACACTCTGTGCATCCTATACATGTAGGGAATCCTCCTTGAATGAGTGGCGTTCACTCCCCGCGTCTTCCACTTTCACGCAATTTATATTTTATGGAAGGTTTTTCGTTATGCGTGCACCGCGCACCTGCTATGACGCGAACCTAGCGCGCACTGCGCTTGCTACAAAGCGAGTCTAGCACGTGACAGACTTCTAGCTATAACGCGAATCTAGCGTGCGGCACACTGCTCGCTATAAATGTGCAGTTAACCCTCCTCAGATTTCTGGCAACTGCCTGATGATAATGGCTGTGGCTCCCAGCGAGACGTCCATACCCAGTTGTTGAATGTGTGTGGATCGCTCTTAAACAACAACCACACTGATGGTGCTCAATGTTAATCAATAAATCAATGCTCCTACTGCTGCTGAAACAGTAACACACATTGATTGGCTGCACGTTTGTTCAGTGACAACCTCATAAGTGAGATATATCTCGTCTGTGTCCACGGGTGTGTCTGTGTGCATCCGCAACATCTGAAAGGCATTGCTGTGTCAGCGGTTATGGTGAGGGCAGTGTAAAGTATTTCATGGCATGACAAAAAAAAATATGCTTACAACATACAATAAAACTCACAGACCGAGACGTCCCACAGGTTGTCGTCAATGAGACTAAGATTAATAGCAACTGAGATGCCAACTACATGAACACGATGTGAGGGTTGAGGTGGCGAGATGTTATCTCCCTCGTCTGGTACACAGGAGCTCGTGGGTTCGATCCTGTCCCTGACGATGCCTATTTAATATGTAGAGTCTGCGTGGTCTCTCTTTCCCCGTGGTCGTGTGGATTTTTCTCTTGGTCCCCCGATTTTTATCTCCACATTTAGAATCAACATCATGCGTTCAGAGTATTTGACTGCTACACATTTTCAAGTGATGATGATACATCACTATGTTGAGCTATAATTTGTGGCCAGGTCGCTCATGACATTTATTTTTCTATGTAACTCAGTGGGATTTACCTGGTAAAATAAAAAAAGATATAGTTTGTTTTATATCGAGGGCATGTGTGTATGTATGTTGAGCTTTTTTCCCACTGTTAGTAGCCAACCGTGCTAATCGGAGGTGTGGGAAAGGAATCTGGTGATGGTGCAGCTGTGAAGTGAGGCTGGGGAGAGAGGTGAGGGAGTTCCTCCTCCTTTCTCCTCACCTTGCTGAGCACCGCCGTTCCGAATACGGCAAGGAAGAGCAGCGTCAGGAGGATAAACCTGAGGACCCGAAGACCCCGAGTCGAGGACTCCTCCTCATCGATGTCTGGGCGAATGTTGAACCTGTCCCAGGATCTACGGTGGAAACAGACGTTCGGTCGAGTCACAGTAAATGTTGTGTTGCGAGATTACTCTTTGACATCAGCTGCTGCTGTTGCTGAAGCTGCAGTAATGCATTGGAACTTTTGTTCACGTAACAGCTTTATTAATCCGTTGCATTAGGTGGAGGAAGCTTTGCAACACGACATTTTACTGAAAATCTATTACGAAGCACGATAAGTGGTCGCAAAAGTCTACACGTGCGAGATTCAGTCAAATAACTTCTGAGCTTTTATCGACGACATTCGTTGCCAATAGTTATTCCTATTGGCAACGAATGACGTTGACGAAGCAAATGAAGAGGAGGGATAAAAAAACCCCTCTGATAACTGCGCAAAGAAGACTGGATCGGTGGACGCTGGGCATTGCACAAAGAGGCAAGGAGAGGAAGACCATGCGTGACCATTCTGGTCAGCGTGGGCTGGGGAAGATGCTATTTTGTGACCGATGCTCACCCATGCCGAGAGAGAATTTGACATCTCCTATCGCCGAGTCCGGAGCTATGGCAAACTCTGCGACATTGATCACAGACGACGGTGGCTCAAGCAGCTTGAGCGACGCATTCTTGGGCATTGCGTCACTTTGCCAGAAACTGGTTGGCTATCAATGCTCAATATAAGAGGTTCGGTTTTTATTACGAAATTATTTTTAAAGATGAATTTTAGTTCGTCGCCTACGATCGAATCACCCTGATCCTGAAAGCTAAGCATGGTTCAACCTGTATGCTGGTGCTGCTGAGGTCACCAGGTTCACAGGGCAGTTGGCTGACCACTGGGGCAGTGATTCGTCTCACCCACGCGGGAACTCCGTTTTATGTTTTGACGAAGACTACCAGATTATCTAAAATAATCGAGGCATGCTGCAGTCATTGTGATTCTTCCGTTGCGGCAGCTGAACACCAACATCTTTTTTTACAAGGTATGTAATCTATCTCCTGGCCTCTGTCCAACCAGGAGTTTAAGTCGATCTACTGGTCGCATTTGATGTGTTAGGACAGGACATCAGGTAGGCCCGTGTCGAAGAGTGGGCCGCATACAACCATAGCGGGGGCCCATAGGACTCTCCGTGGTAAAGGGAGGCTCTGCCTCCAGCAACACTACGGTGGCGAGATATAATCTCCCTCGCTAAGTATGTAGGAGGTCGTGGATTCGATCGCGATCCTGACGCCTATTGTATATTTGGAGTTTGCATGTCCTTTCTCGCTGTTTCCCCGTGGTCGCATGGATTTTTCTATGGATCCTCCGAGTTTTCCTTCCACATTTAGAATCAATATCACGCATTTAGAGTATTTGGCCGCTATAAATACCCACATGATCAGCCATTTGTTTGAGCTATCAATTGTGGCCAGGTCGCTTGTGAAAATATCTATACAGCACAGTGGGCCTTACTTGGTAAAATAAATAGTTTATAGGTGAGTTATTGGTTTTAATCAGCTGATTTAGTATTCTTCACTTAACATACCTGGCAGCATGGTTCACGTGTAGGCCAATAATCGGTCGTGGAAATATATTCGCGTCCTTGTCAAAAACGCCGACCAAGATAATGTTAAATTGTAAGCCCGTGATTTCGGGACCTAAATACAGTGAGGGAAAAAAGTATTTGATCCCCTGCTGATTTTGTACGTTTGCCCACTGACAAAGAAATGATCAGTCCATAATTTTAATGGTAGGTTTATTTGAACAGGGAGAGACAGAATGACAACATAAAAATGTCAAAAATGTTTTAAATTGATTTGCATTTTAATGAGGGAAATAAGTATTTGACCCCTCTGCAAAACATGACTTAGTACTGGGTGGCAAAACCCTTGTTGGCAATCACAGAGGTTAGACGTTTCTTGTAGTTGGCCACCAGGTTTGCACACATCTCAGGAGGGATTTTGTCCCACTCCTCTTTGCAGATCTTCTCCAAGTCATTAAGGTTTCGAGGCTGACGTTTGGCAACTCGAACCTTCAGCTCCCTCCACAGATTTTCTAGAGGATTAAGGTCTGGAGACTGGCTAGGCCACTCCAGGACCTAAATGTGCTTCTACTTGAGCCACTCCTTTGTTGTCTTGGCCGTGTGTTGGAATACCCATCCACGACCCATGTTCAATTCCCTGGCTGAGGGAAGGAGGTTCTCACCCAAGATTTGACGGTGCATAGCCCCGTCCATCGTCGCTTTGATGCGGTGAAGTTGTCCTGTCCCCTTAGCAGAAAAACACCCCCAAAGCATAATGTTTCCACCTCCATGTTTGACGTGAGGATGGTGTTCTTGGGGTCATAGGCAGCATTCATCCTCCTCCAAACACGGCGAGTTGAGTTGATGCCAAAGAGCTCCATTTTGGTCTCATCTGACCACAACACTTTCACCCAGTTGTCCTCTGAATCATTCAGATGTTCATTGGCAATCTTCAGACGGGCATGTGTATGTGCTTTCTTGAGCAGGGGGACCTTACGGGTGCTGCAGGATTTCAGTCCTTCACGGCGTAGTGTGTTACCAATTGTTTTCTATGGTCATTGACAATATCCTCTCGTGTAGTTCTGGGCTGATTCCTCACCGTTCTCATGATCATTGCAACTCCACGAGGCGAGATCTTGCATGGAGGCCCAGGCTGAGAGAGATTGACAGTTCTTTTGTGTTTCTTCCATTTGCGAATAATCGCACCAACTGTTGTCACCTTTTCACCAAGCTGCTTGGCAATGGTCTTGTAGCCCATTCCAGCCTTGTGTAGGTCTACAATCTTTTCCCTGACATCCTTGGAGAGCTCTTTGGTCTTGGCCATGGTGGAGAGTTTGGAATCTGATTGATTGATTGCTTCTGTGGACATGTGTCTTTTATCTTCTTTGGTTCTTTCGGTAAGAACCTGAGATTTGGAGCACACCCTTTAAGAGTGTGCTCCTAATCTCAGCTCGTTACCTGTATAAAAGACACCTGGGAGCCAGAAATCTTTCTGATTGAGAGGGGGTTAAATACTTATTTCCCTCATTAAATGCAAATCAATTTATAACATTTTTGACATTCGTTTTTCTGAATTGGAATTTCATCGAGAGACCAAAGCAAAAAAAACGAGCACGCAGATCAGAGAATGCACGCACGAATTCAAATCACACATTTCACAGCGCAAATTAACCAGCGTCGCTCTCTTACACGTCGAAACGTGCGTGAGTGGTGCGTGGGTTTGGGGAGTGCACCGTCGCGAATCGTTGATGGTGGCCGACGGTCAAAAAAATCGTCACGGACTGACGAAGCAAAGGAAGGAACGCGTCCGGGAGGATGTCCGTCTGGGATACGGAGCAATGCAATGTTCTCGCCGATGGGCGAGAACATCCAGCAGTGGATGGATCATGGCTGATGCTCACGATAATTGATGGCGGTGGTGGTTGTGGTGTAGGGAGTGATAGAGTGGTAGTTAGTCGTACAGACGACTATATATATACAGATAGTCGTCTGTACGACTGGTAGTTACCACGCTAACTACCACTCGTACAGACGACTATCTATATCAGTCCTAGGGCTCCCCTAGGTCAACTCAACCTTAAATGAGTCCATGTTTGTAAACATCGCAACTAGGGAGACGAAAGCGGCCGAGCATGGATCTGGCCACCCACTCCCTGATGTGCCGCTCCAACCTTCATAGGTGCTCGTTAACAGCACTTGGGCCAACAGTCTGTTTAAGCTATGAGGGGGATATTTTTTTTATTTTGTGTGGTTATGGTGGTAGTGTTGTTGGTACTGTGTTGTTGGTAGTGGTGTTGTGGTGGTGGTTATGGTGCTGTTGTTGGTTATGGTGATTGTGGTGGTGGTGAAACATTAACTTACTTCTCGCATTCGTTTTGGGGCTCCACTTCTTCTGATTGTGCTTTCCTCTGCACGTCCCTGCGTTCGTCCCCGCACGGGCACTCGCATTTCCATTCAACAGCTCCCGCCTCTCCTTTCTCTGGCGGCTTTGAGGACTTCGATGATGCTTGAGGCTTCGTCATCGCCCGTATACGCGTTTGGGAGCTCAGATATCGGCGGTGGTAGAGAGTCTGCCTCTAGGATCTCCCTTCAATAAGCATTAAACCCCTACCTGTCCGCGATGAGCTGTGGCGTAGTTAATGGACAGAACTCATCTGTAGAGCTAAACTGAGAGTCGTTATGGCAATCAGCCCGATAGTTTTATCTTTGAGATGCGATTGTGTTGATATGTTACACTCTTACAACGCGTATTATAATTCAAAATGTATTATAATTGTCACACGAACTAGAGATAATAAGTATTATAAAATTGGCAAGATTAGACTCCAACGGTGAGGAAAGAAAACATCTGACTCTGAATGCAGATACTTGAACTGTCTACAGACTTCTAAAGAAGCATCAGCACTGAGCCCTCTAGGGAGCGGGGTACTAGTCTCAGACAGAGTGGTAGCACCACTGATTATATATATCGAGAGGGAGGGATGACTCCGGGTTCAGTTTGACACCCTAATTTGCAAGCGATCAAAGACAAAGCTGAGGGAGGGAAAGACCTGCTGAGACACGTGGCATAAATTTACAACGAGGAAGCTGATATTCTCTGCGGCTTAACGTTCAAAGCTGCGATGTCGTGAGTTCATATGCAAAGCAGCGTGAGGCCGTCGTCATCATTGTCATCATTGTTTGTCATCAACCACATCAAACACGTCATCATCATTAACATTGAGTCATCAAACATCAACAGCAGCGCCATCGCCATCATTAATTGCATTACCATCATTGCCATCATCATCATAAATGTACATTAGCATAATTCATCAACATCACCCACCAGCATCATTACCACCACATTCATCATTGATTGCATCCGCAAATACAAATATATATATCCAAACCATTCTCAATCTACCAATAGATGATGGAATCTCGACACCACGTAGGTTGTGGGAGCTGTTTCAATCATACTTGACCACCATGCTGGGTCAGTGTTCGTGACGAGTAGGGTGGATGGGTGGGAAGCGGTGGCACAGCGGTTAGCGCGTTGCGCTATGAACCCAAATACTCCAGTTCGATTCCCGCTCACGGTCAACATCAGCGTCGCCTATCTGAACCGGTCATGGGCTTCCCCTAGGTCGACAAAGCCTCAAATGAGTATCTGGTGCGGTGCATAAAAACATTGCCACTAGGGAGACAAAGGAGGCTGGGCGTTGTGCTGTCCACTCACCCTGTCGTGTGCTGTTCTGGCCTTCATAGGTACTCGTTAACAGCAATTGCCCCAACAGTCTGTTCAGGCTATACGGGGTATCTTTGTTTGTTTGTTTGAAAAGGTGGGGAACGTTGGCGCAGCGGTTAGCCCGTTGTGCTACGAACCCGGCCACCCGAGCTTGATTCCTGCTCACGGCCAACACCAGTGACGATCACCAGAACCGGTTCTGGGCCTCAAATGAGTATCTGGTGCCATGTGTAGCAAACATCGCCACGAGAGAGACAAATGCGGCCGGGTATTGTGCTAGCTACCCACCCTCTCATGTGCCGTGCAAGGCTTCTCAGGTGCTATTCTCTAACAGCGATTACCCCTATAGGTCTATTTAGGCTACACGGGGGATCTCTATCTTTGGAAGGGTGGGAGGAGGGATGGAGGGAAGATGGGGGCATTAGTTCTGAATCCTCTTGCCGTGTCATGTTCGCCGTGGTCGGGAATCGTATGTGGGGGGCCGGGGTTCAGAAATAGAATGAGAAGTTGATTAGCCGAGTCAATAACACATTGAGCTCTACAGCTCGTTGCCAACGGTGACTCGGCCAGCAGACAAACACGCAGCAAATGTCACAAATCAATAAGTAAACATAAGGTAACGATGACAATATTATATTACAAACAATGATGTGTATTCACTCCTGTATCGTTGCTCAGTGCGCAATCCACTTGAGCACTGCTCCCCTCCTTTCGACCCGTCTACGGATAAGTGGCACCTGCAGAGGAGGCAGTGCCCACTGGATGAAAAAACTGGTCCCTGCCATATAAATGTGTAATTTCTACTACTGGTCCAGCATGTATGTTGGACTTCTTTCGCATCGTACGTAGCCAACCATGCTAATCAGATGTGCGGGCGAAGGGCAAACGAAATATACACAAAAAGCAGTTCTAAAAGTCAGTTTTCAAACTCTGTGATTTAAAAGTGCATCTCTCCAGAGGCTTCCGAATATCGAAAGGAAAAGCATGCAGCCAATGGATATAGGAAAAGTTTGAGTGATTGTTACGATGGGCCCCACAAGGTACAGTGAGGGAAAAAGTATTTGATCCCCTGCTGATTTTGTACGTTTGCCGACTGACAAAGAAATGATCAGTCTATAATTTTAATGGTAGGTTTATTTGAACAGGGAGAGACAGAATAACAACAACAAAATCGAGAAAAACGCATGTCAAAAATATTATAAATTGATTGGCATTTTAATGAGGGAAATAAGTATTTGACCCCTCTGCAAAACATGACTTAGTACTTGGTGGCAAAACCCTTGTTGGCAATCACAGAGGTCAGACGTTTCTTGTAGTTAGCCACCAGGTTTGCACACATCTCAGGAGAGATTTTGTCCCACTCCTCTTTGCAGATCTCCAAATAATTAAGGTTTCGAGGCTGACGTATGGCAACTCGAACGTTCAGCTCCCTCCACAGATTTTCTATGGGATTAAGGTCTGGAGACTGGCGAGGCCACTCCAGGACCTTAATGTGCTTCTTCTTGAGCCACTCCTTTGTTGCCTTGGCCGTGTGTTTTGGGTCATTGTCATCCTGGAATACCCATCCACGACCCATTTTCAATGCCCTGGCTGAGGGAAGGAGGTTCTCACCCAAGATTTGATGGTACATGGCCCCGTCCATCGTCCCTTTGATGCGGTGAAGTTGTCCTGTCCCCTTAGCAGAAAAAACACCCCCAAAGCATAATGTGTCCACCTCCATGTTTGGCGGTGGGGGATGGTGTTCTTAGGGTCATAGGCAGCATTCCTCCTCCAAACACGGCGAGTTGAGTTGATGCCAAAGAGCTCCATTTTGGTCTCATCTGACCACAACACTTTCAGCCAGTTGTCCTCTGAATCATTCAGATGTTCATTGGCAAACTTTAGACGGGCATGTATATGTGCTTTCTTGAGCAGGGGGACCTTGCGGGCACTGCAGGATTGCAGTCCTTCACGGCGTAGTGTGTTACCAATTGTTTTCTTGGTGACTATGGTTCCAGCTGCCTTGAGATCATTGACAAGATCCTCCCATGTAGTCCTGGGCTGATTCCTCACCGTTCTCATAATAATTGCAACTCCACGAGATGAGATCTTGCATGGAGCCCCAGGCCGAGGGAGATTGACAGTTCTTTTGTGTTTCTTCCATTTGCGAATAATCGCACCAACTGTTGTCACCTTCTCACCAAGCTGCTTGGCAATGGTCTTGTAGCCCACTCCAGCCTTGTGTAGGTCTAGACTCTTGTCCCTGACATCCTTGGAGAGCTCTTTGGTCTTGGCCATGGTAGAGAGTTTGGAATCTGATTGATTGATTGATTGCTTCTGTGGACAGGTGTCTTTTATACAGGTAACAAGCTGAGATTAGGAGCACTCGCTTTAAGAGTGTGCTCCTAATCTCAGCTCGTTACCTGTATTAAAGACACCTGGGAGCCAGAAATCTTTCTGATTGAGAGGGGGTCAAATACTTATTTCCCTCATTAAAATGCAAATCAATTTATAACATTTTGACATGTGTTTTTCTGGATTTTTTTGTTGTTATTCTGTCTCTCACTGTTTAAATAAACCTACCATTAAAATTATAGACTGATCATTTCTTTGTCAGTGGGCAAACGTGCAATATCAGCAGGGGATCAAATAATGTTTTCCCTCACTGTATACTCGAGCGATGCTGCTGGAGTGGAATGGTTCTCAGACTGGACTCGTAATCCACAGATCACCGGGTTCATTCGATCTCCCTTTGCGGCAGTTGATGAACCCGCCCTTGGCCTCTATGCATTAAGCGATACAACTGTGTGCTGCAGAGTTATGTCGATCGGCAGGTCACGTGTGGTGGGACAAAGTTCGTGTGGTGGGCCAGACGTCTTGCATCTTCCATGATGCAAGACGTCTGGCCAGTATGGAAGAGTAGGCTCCGAATGAAACCTCTCTATTTATATGTTATTCGTTTAAATATTTCACCTGGATTATCCCTGGAGATAGAAGATCTCGTTGCAAGAGTGCCCAGGGTGTAATGTGATGCGTACCTAGCAAAGACGACGCAACGTCTACCAACTTTGTAAATTATTCTCTCGGGAAGACATTTCCATAACCTCCTGAAGAAGAAGCCCGTTCTGTTAACATTGGCTTCAGTGACAGAATCGAGGCTGCACCTTTCAGTCTTGCTTGCGCATCGCTCTGAGTAGCAACAGAGAGTGTAGCTCAACATAGAGGGACGCAACAGAACCGGTGGTGGCTATGCACATGGCCTGTCATCCAATGCTATGGAGGCATGGGTTGGTGGATCACACAATTGTCGTGAAACTCCCTTCCAGTGGCCTTTGAGCGTTGAATTCGTCATACCATGGATGGCAAGCGTTAATGGTTTGGTGGCTTTGCTATCATGAGGCATTATCCACTAATGGTCCAGCAGGAACCTTGACTTCTCAAGTGGAGTATCCTGCAGCGCAAGGATATCGACGACTTCTGTCCTCAAAGTCTGTCCTCAAAAACGAGATTGTCACATTAGGTGCTTGATGTTGTCCTTAACCCGCACCTCCGTTTAGCACGGTTGGCTACGGATGGTGCGATGGAAATTCAACATATATACAAGGACATAGAAGTACATCAAGCGTGAGTTTTCTACAGATTATCCTTTGTTCCTCGCACTCATTAAGTAGCTGAAATTTTCTCAGTAAATTGAGAACCCACAGATTGTTGGTCCCGGCTTACATTCTATAAACTATCAAACTATTTTTTTTAATTCTAAACTATAAAATATTTCTGTTTTGCCAGGTAAGGCCCAGAGGGTAAACCGGAGGA